GCTCGTTTCGACTCACCGCTTCAGTTCGTGTCCTACCGTTGTGCACGACGGACGTGTTGAACTCGGTCGCGTCTCGCGTTCTCTATTCGAAGGAAAAAACTAACTGTTGTCCGCCGCTGGAACTAGTGTGAAACGATTCGGTGGTTCGCGCGTAAACGACCAACTGTGCGCGGTAGATTTAGAAGGCACGAAGGAACGCGTGTCCCCCGAAAACGACGCACGAGGTCGCGTAGTGTCCCGGCCGGCGATAAAGTTTCGTAGTGACTTGTGTGGAAAAAAAGTGGTGAAGTCAGTGCGCGCGTCGTGTTCGATTGCACCAACCACGGTTCTCAAGCAGAGATCCGATAATTGGATCGATTCCGTCTAGAACACGATTCGACGGATCGTCAGAGGAGAGCGTACCATCCTAGCCGTCGCCGCGGTGCACCGTCCGTCCACCTTTCGCGTTGCCGCGAGTGCACGGGATAAAATGGCGCTTGCTTTCGACCGTGTACCTTTATCGACCGTAACAAACAATTTAACGACGGAATCGCGTCGACGCCAGTCGCGACGTTTTTGAACATCGAACGCGTTACCGCGGCAGATCGTTTTTCACCGTTCGCCCCACCCCCATTGCTTCGTTTCGCTCGCTTTAACGTCTTTTCGTACGCGAATCGAACCGCTCCGCTGCCACGAGTCGAAACACGAACGAGATACATTTCGACGCTTCCCGAGCCTGGACAGAGCGAAACTTTTGAGCCCGAACGCGTCGCACGCGTCGTTGAAAGCAAGGGTGAGTACCGAACGATATTATTTTCTCTAATCGTACTTTGGACCGTCGTAAAAAAGCATAATTAACACTATCCTCCGTACGCGAAATGACGATCGCGCGATAATAGGTGGTAATTCGTATCGCGAACGAGAAAATCGTTTTCCTTTCGTTATCCGCGACACGCCAGATATTAACGAGATCGCGGTGAAAGGCATCGGCTCGCTGTCGAAGCTTGGAACGCTGCGTCAGGAGCGTTGGATTCCGTTCGAACAGGTTTGCCGTTTCATTCGTGTTACCTTCGCTACGGCGATGCAGGTAACAGCGACGTATCCTCGTATAGTACCAGCGCCGAAATCTTTTCCGTCGTAAGTCGGGACAGTAAGTGCGCAGCGTTAACGATTCCGTAATTATGCAAATAAATTTGAAAGGGTTGGGGTCGCGGACTATTTGAAAGTCCGTACGACACGCAGGCAGGCAAGCAAGCGTACAGACACGCATACGCGAAGCTAGCCGATGTGTACATAGGTAACGCGTGTGTGCACACTCGACCGAGTACACACGCGCTTTCGCACGCGTCTAAACGTGCCAAACGCGGTTCGGCCGAGCTACGTGCGTGTACTACTCGGAAAATGACAGGCCATCGGTGAGCCGGTGTGTTTGAGCTCGCCTCCTCGTGCAAATATTTTGCGCGGGCAAACACTCGGCACGACGGATCATGCCCTCCTCGAAGGTAGACGGAAAGAAGGTGCTTGTACCCGCTGAGAACGGGATATCTCGCTGAATTTTGCGTAATCCGACGAACAAAGAGTCGAAGAATTTGTCGCGAGTTAGATCTGGGTTAGGCTCGTAAATCGTCGAATCGGAGTCGTGACGTTTCGGTATCGCTGGCCCGCGTCTCAATCAGATTTCACGGCAGATGGGAACGCGATACCCGTAGGTAGGTTTCCTGGGGTTGGTCGAGAAGGGGTATACGCGGGGAAGCGAACGAATTTCCGTGCTTCAGAATCGACACGACGGTTTCGGAGTAGCTGATCGCTATCGTGGTTGACACTGGCGTGGTCAGGTAGGCAGGGCAACTTTACGACGCGTTAAGGGTAAAAAAAAAACCGGCAATTCCGTTCTACCTGTTGGCGCAGGTAACTTTCGGTTCCTTCGTAAGCTCGGTTTATCGGATTCCGTCACGCGTCTCCGAAAATGCCGCGTTCGTAGGACGCCGATCGTCCAATTAACAATTTGGAGCGTTGCGCACGGTTCGCGACGATTCTAGGGCAGAGTGCACTCTATTTGCATAATCTCGCGGTGCAGCGAGAGACAGACAGAGGGGGAAAGCGAGACGGAACGGCTGGTAAAACGCGAGTAACTTAGCACCACGATCGATAAGTCTTCGCCGTTGGGGCTTAATTTCGTTTTCTAGTATGCGACCGCGTGCCAGAGATGTTCACGGTAATTAGCCTCAATTTGAAGTTCCGTCCGAGCGCCGGTAATTCGTGGTATAACGTTTCTTGCCCTCGGTAGCAGCTCTTTCTCTCGTTCTTCGTTAAACGCGAAATCCTCGACGTCGATACTCGGCGACAGCGTTCAGATACGTCCGATAATCGTCGGACCGTTAGGCGAAAACGACGGACGAGTCCTCGTTTCGTTGGCCTAGCTAAACTGGACGCTGTCGAGAAGCGATCTCCGCTCGGTATGGAGGATATCGAGCGATTAATTATGATTACTGGTGCCATTAGAGACGCGTCCGTGTGCGGTCGTACGCGCGTACGTGCGTGCGAGCCAGCCCGTTGTTAGATACGCCGCGATCTAGTCAGTGTAGCGTGTTCCGCGCATACTGCCGCGTAATTGCATCGTGAAAGTGTTACAAAGCGATTGCTCGTCGGCCCTGTGGAAACGCGTCGCTCGATCGAGCGGCGGCTCGCCTGTCCGTGGAAATAGTGAAAGTAGTGCAACCACCTGGCTCGTCCTTTGAAAACCACTTGTACCTAACCTCTAGGTACCTCTTGCCCGTACGAGCTCGTTTCTTTGTCGCGCTATCGAGTTACGTGCTCCCAGGATCGAACTCTTTCCACCCCTCAGAGCGGTTCTTTCACGAGAACCGCGTCGCTTCTTGCTCTCTGTTCGACCTATCCCGATATCCCCGGCCCGCGCTCCGAGCCCAGGATGTCCCGAAATTTCGGGACTGTCGGTAACCGCCGACAGAGCGATTCGAATCTCTCGTTTTACGTTTCCAAGGGGCGACAGGTCTCTTTCCGCTCCTCTCGCTAATCTCCAGGCTCATCTAGGATCTAGGGTTACCTCCGCTCCCTGCATCTACGCGCATACCCGTGTACCCGCTCGTCGCCGGGGTTATTATTATATTATACTCGCAGGTCTTGACCCGATCAGACAGATACCGAGGCGGATATCGAGACGATAACATCGCCACTTCCGCGAGTCGAACATTCAATTTGCAGTTACATCTCTCCTTTAAAAATGAAAAAGCGAACGCGTAATTCTGCTACCGGAACTTTTAACGACCGTTTTCGTACCGATTAGCATTCCGATCGATTTCTCCGCCAAGACGGGATTATTGATCGCGCCAATCGAGGCAATAAACTTCACGCTCCGGCCCCGGAAGAGACTTTCGTCCGTCGCCGTAAACATATCACTCGCGATAACATCTAGAAATTAGAATAATATCGTTCGAAATCGTGGAAGATAAACGAGAAAAATGCTCGTCGCAGGATGGTTCCTCGTCCAGTATCAAATTTCACTAGAACCTCGAAGAAGAGACGTAAACCGTGGGTTGGACATTATTAATTCGGTAATAAAAAAAAGTTAAGAACCGGGAGAAACGACGTTGCGTAATTTCATTTACATAGAAGTTTTATTCCGTGGAGGCCGCGTGAATTTTGATGCCTTCGCGAGACGATCGAGCACCTACGAGGTGGCGAGCAAGCAACGAGTAATTATCGATAGCGATAGGTCGCGAAACGCGTCGGAGGGTGAAAGTTCTCGCGACCCACTT